GCACAATGAATAAATACCATGGAAGGCACTTTTACCATCAATTATTCCTTTCACTATAACAGATTTCTCATTAATATTATTCAAATGCATAAATGCCTTTGAAAAACTATGTCTGGCTTCACTGGTAAACATTTTTAAAAATCTGTCTTTAAGGTATAAATTAATAGTATGGGCTTTTTCTCTAACATCACTATTAGGATCTGATTCCATTGCCAATGTATATTTCATTATCTTTGAAGGAATAGTTAATCCTTGTTGTACAGTTAATTCTAAAACTTCTAGAGTGGCATGCCTAATATAATCAGTAGTATCGTCTAAAAGAGCAATCAATGCATCAATGTAGCTTAACATTAAAGTTGATGTTACACCGGCATCCATATTCTCTTGGTGGGTAGCGGAGCTTAGCTTTGATTCTTCAGCCAGTAAAAAGTCTTTAAACATCAAGACAACTTCATAGACAAAATCCCTATTTTCACTGGACAAGCTTTGTGAAATAGCAGTTTGAGTTTGCTTTACCAAGAAAAGTTTAGGTTGTCTTATCAATAAGAATCCTAAAGATCTGGCTGCTTTTTGCTTGATCAATTCAGACGATTTGGAAATCCAGCCAATAGTGATGCTGTAAATAGTTTGTACAATTTTTCCAGGTTTCAAGTTTTGATTGGTAATATTTTCAATCATATCTGAAGTACTATCAAAGTCGTGATATCTGCAAAATAGTGCTGCTGCATAAAGCAATCTGCAAGTTCTTGCTTCGCTTTGCAGATTAGTATCTGACACTGTTATGAAAGAGAATATATTATTAAGAACAGTGTATAAATATTGAGTATTTTTGATTCTTGAGCAAAAATTACACAAACAGCTGACACACGCCTCTATTATTTCTTGTTTAACACCTGGACATGAAAATATTAATTTCACTAATTCTTTTTGGAGAACATCGCAAAATTTTTGCTCTGGTTTGTTAATATAAGGAGATAACTTATCAACTATGCATACAGCATGATAAACAAGAGGGAGTTGATTCTCAGATTTAATATATACTAATGGGTTGAATAATTAGATGGTTAAATTTTCTGCGACTTACCAGAAATATTTCTAAAGTGAGAAAGAAATAAAGAATGATCAGCTAGACAAATCAAATGTAAAGCACTCATACAAGTTACAATATTAAACCTATTGAATAACTCGCTAGGCGATGTAGCTTTTTTTTCTTCGCTATCCAATTTGATTACATGTTGTATAAGAGTTTCAATTATCATTTTAAGAGAAGTTTGAATTTTTTCGTGATCTTTTGACATACTGGCCAACTGTTAATAAAGTTTAAATATAGTTAGTATTAAAGATGATAACTTACATTAATAATTTGATAGAGCCAATGATCTTTGTACTGTTTAAAATCTATTGCTTGCTTTCCTATAACATCCACAATTTGAAGCCCACTTAGCTTGAATTTTTCTGTGGTATTTTTATCAAACCATAGCTTTGTGAAGGTTTTTAAAACTAGTTCCTTGATATTATCTTCTTCCTTGTTTTGATGGCTTAATCTACTTGCTAAAGTTTTACAAATTTCTGTAATCATATTATCTTCAGTAATTAAGGAACAAAGTTCTCCCAGAATTGTAATACTTTTCTTTCTAACACTCTTTGATGTATCTTTGACTCTATCTAATATTATTCTGATATAAAAATCTTCATATCTTTTCAGAGTTATCATAGCATTTCCTATTAAATCAATAACAGACTCTCTCACTGAAGGGAATGCATCTACAGTTCTTTCACGAATTCCAAGTTGTACGTAATTTTTCATTAATACAGATGAATCCATATTAATAACTGTTTGTAAAGCTTTGATAGCATCTGCGCGGACTTTTGGTTTGTCATCCTTCAGTTCTGAAATAATTTGGCCAAAGACAAAGTCAAACTTGTTAATGATACTTGAATTTCTGTTACAAAGAATATTAATATATAAATTTTGTGACTCGACATCTTGTAGGGGTCTTTTGGATTGGAATTAATAAATGATAATTTAAAATACTACATACGTGTTTACAGTATCAGTATCATCTCTCAATAATAAAGTTTTGTAGAATGGTGCTTTCTTTTCTATTTCTCTTTCATCATAAAACCACTGAGCGATTGTAAACTGTTTAGAATAAGAAATCATTGGATAATCTTTTTGCTTCATATTGAGATATGTGAATAGCGAAAGTTTCATCTTGTCAATTTCGTCCAACTCAAATAAAGTTTTAAACTCATCTTGCAATTTGGTAGTATGTAACTCCATAGTATTACTAGTTTCACCATTGTTATCCTGTACGCATTCCATTGTTAACATGTAGTCCTTCATGAACTGTAAATTTTTAAATTCAAGTTCTTTAATTCTAGCAGCAAGTTTTCCCAAAATTTTTAAAGCCAATTGTCTATACTTATCAGCAATATCTTTTTGAGAGAGATACTTATTGCAAAGAATGTTAGCTAACGCTTGAAGTAAAAGATCTGCTGCTGGCCATGATGGCAATGGAAGAACCACCAGTAAATCCTCCACAAAATGTTCAATAATTAGTCTATTATCTCCATCCACAGATTCTGATTTTGTACATCTTTCCAAGAAATACTCTGAAAATGTTGTGGCACAACGAACAGCTTGTTCATATGTAGTAATAATAATGTCTTCTGATTCAGGAGTTGAGTCCTTCATAATATCATCATCCTGATCATCATCTGAATTATTTTCAACATTATCAAAGATGAGTTTTCTTGCTACAGAAGTTTCATTTCGTTTGATATCAGTGCATGAATGAATTAATTGAAGCATAAGAGATGTGAACATTTGGATATGAATTGAAGTTTCTGGTATTCTAAACCTTCTGTCAGTCTTCTTGTTGGCTGGAAGCCTTAAAAGAGAAACTGTTATCTCACCAAGAATTTGTTCTCTGTGATCTGGATAAGAAGAGAAAATCTATTAACACATTTTTTGTGATTATTAATACCTCTGTGAATCAATAATAATAAACTTACTTTTGTAATAACACCCAATGATGCAAGTTGTATATCATCAATACCATTTACAAAGAAAGTAGAAACAACGATATCTGATATTGTTAAAATAAATTCGTCTTTCAAAGACTGTTTCCTAAGAATTTTGTCTAATTTTTTGAAAATTTTACACAATTGAATCATCTCTGAATTGCAACTGTATTTTCTACTTGTTTTCTTTTTTGGAGCTTCTTCTGATTCTACAATAGGATAAATATATTTTCTCAAAACTGTTTTGGTAAAATCAAGAATGGTTTCAAAACATTCTTCATTTAGAGTTTCCTTAGAAACGCCTCTACCAGACATAACAGTAAATGATAGTATAGCACATCTTGAAGCCTTACTAATACTATCCTTATCTTGTTTTAAAGATTCTACTAATTCTTCTCTTGAAGTTTCTGATACTACTTTAACTAATTCTAATCCTACATTAACTTGACTCTCTAGCACACTTAACAATTTAATTAATTTTTCCGTAGGTACTTCTTTCAAATAATTATTTTTATGAGCCAAGCCTATTTCAACTTCTACATCCTTAAGAAATTTTTCTTCCACCAATTCATCTTCGCTTTGTCTAAAGTCACTCCATGCAAAAAGTTCATCAAGTGCTCCTATAAGTTTTTCGACACTTGTTGTTTTTGGAGCAAGTTTTGCATTAATTACTAGTTTTGAAGGTTGACCATTAGATACTGTTGAAGATGGTTTTTCTTGTGTCTCAACTTCATCAATTAATTCTAAAATAGAAGATTTTAAATGAATGTTTAGTGAAAACTTACTCTTATTTCTTCTAGCTTTACGAATCTTGATTGGTGTAGTATTAGAAGTAACTTTTGGTGTTTCTTTTTGTAAAGATTTCTTATATAAATCATATGATACAGGTGAAGGATTGATTGGTCGATTTTCTTTATCTTCCTGGAATTTTAAGAGTGAACTCAAAAGTACTGAATTCTTACTATTATTATTCAAATCTTGTTGTACTAAACTACCACCATTAGAGTTTAAAATACTTGGCAAAGAATTTATAACTCCTTTTGCTGAAAACTTACATTTCATCATCCATTCTTGGTTTTGAAGTGAGAACATTATAAAGTCCTTCAACTAAATTTTCATCATTGGTATCAAGCCATTTAATTACTTCCTCTTTGTGATGAGGACATTGTAATAAATTATAAGTGTACAAGTCTTTGGATGGATGATCGATATTTTTGAATATTGGTTGTTCTTTGACAGTCAGTGGAGGCATTTCGTTGATAATAGAAAATTGGGCACAAAAAGGAGGAAGAAAGGCATCAATAAATCTTGATCCATTGTTTGATAAAGGTATCCGATTATTATTTGAAGACATTTTTTTAATTTTTATTTTGCACTTCTTTCACCAACAAGAACAAGATTTGGCGGGTAAAGGATTTTGTTTCCACGATAGCATCGGAATAATTTTTGGTTCGGAATAAAATTGAAAATAAATTTTTTTTTAAAAACGTCTATCATTCCGAATGACAAAGACAAAAAAAGTGCTCAAACAGTTCTTAATCATCACGTCTACTTACAACATCAAGATATTGGCGCTCTTTTAATAATAACATCAAAAAAAACGACCATACATTTACTGTCTTGAATTAGAGATGGGAAAAGATTATTACTCAATACTTGGGGTTTCTAGAAGTGCCGATGAGAAGGAATTAAAATCTGCCTATCGTAAACTTGCATTAAAATGGCATCCCGATAGAAATCCTGACAACAAGCAAATGGCCGAAGAAAAATTTAAGGAAATTGCTGAAGCTTATGAAATATTAAGTGACAGTAATAAGAGAGCAATCTATGATCAATATGGGGAAGAAGGCCTAAAGGGAGGAATTCCAACAAGTGGAAGTGGTGCCGGATTTGGTGGAGGTGGAGGTTCCTATACTTTCCATGCTACAAACCCTGAAGATATTTTCAAACAATTCTTTGGGGCAAGAAGCCCTTTCGATTCAATGTTTAGTGGAGGATTTGATGATGGTGATGACTCATTTTCATCCTTTGGATTTGGACCAGGATCATTCTTTAAGAGTACTCAACAAAGAGGACCAAGAAAGGCTCCAGATGTTGTTCAAAAAGTTGTTTGTTCCCTAGAGGATTTATACAAAGGAAAAACAAAGAGGATAAAGATTACAAAACAAGTTCTAAACCCAGATGGGCAAACAACAAGAAAAGAATCAAAGATTTTAACTTTTCCAATCAAAAAAGGATTTAAGAAGGGAACAAAAATAAGATTTGAAAACGAGGGAGATCAAGCTCCAGGTATTATTGCTGCAGATGTAGTATTCGAAATTGATGAACAACCTCATAATACTTTTCAAAGGGAAGGAAATAATCTTATTTACACTCCTAATGTATCCCTGAAAGAAGCACTTTCAGGCACTGTAATAGAAGTTAAAACATTAGATGATAGGACACTAAGAATACCTATTAATGACATTGTAAACCCAGGATATTCTAAAACTGTTTCTGGAGAAGGTATGCCACTTTCCAAGAATCCAGATCAAAAAGGAGACCTAATCATTAAACCAGCCATAGTCTTCCCTCGATTTTTAGATAATCAACAAAAAGAGATGATCAAGAAGATCTTACCTTAGAAAACTTTGTAAATAAATGTAAATACATGGTACTTTTTGTAAAAACTATTTTTAATTTTGGCGCCAACTTTCTTTGCCGTTAAAAATGCAAAAAAATTAGGTATTAAACGAATGATTGCATTCACCATTTAAACTTCGTACTCATCCGTTCATTAAATAGAAGGAAAAATTAGGAATGACCTCACCATCACCAATTAAAAGGAAAAGACTTGTTAAAACCATAGCATTGAAAAGAAAGTCAGATAACACTTTGGATACGGAAACAAAAAAACAAAAACCATCCTCTTCCGAAACTCACAACACTGAAAATTCAAGTGATGATAGCGAACAAGTTTGTACAATATGTTTATCTACTGTTTCCTATCCAAAGGCCGTACCAAATCATTGTAAACACCAATTTTGTAACAAGTGTATTTGTTTGTGGAAGGAACGTTCCAATCTTTGTCCTGTGTGTAGGTCAAGATTCACTTCACTCAAAGTTTTTGATAAAAAAGAGAGTAAGACCTTCAAAGTAGTTACTGTCAAGAAGAAAGATTTTGAAATTGACTACAACGAACTAGTGAATGGATTTTATAGAAATGAGAATAGTGATGAAGA